TTCCGTAATTTTTCAACAGTTATTTTTTAAAAACTATCTGGTTATTTGGAAAGTTGTATAAATTGACAGAACATGATCATTTATCATTTTTCACTTTTTAAGCAATTATTAAAACATAATACAGCAATAATAATTGGCTAAAATTTATTGTTATTAATTTATTTTTTTGCACTCGAAAAAATATAAAATTATTATCAATTAAAAAATATGATTAAAAACTTCCATCGAAGCGAATAAATATTTCATATCTATAAATTTGCGCGATTTCTTGATATATTTCGGATTATTTACTACAAAAATCAGCTTAGTCGCATTAATATGTAAGTGCAATATAAGGGTGATATAACGGTATTTTATTGGACATTGCAGTGGTAAAAAATAAACCTAATTTTAAGAAAGATTCTTCAAGGAGGCGCTATAGGAATTTAATAAATTTCCTTATATCTAATTTTATTTTTTGTTCTACATTGCGCTGTAAATTAATCATTTCAAGTTGCAGTGAAGGCCTAACTTTTTATGTAGGATAACAAAGGAGCTTGCAAAAGTTTTAAAAAATATTTTAAATATTTTAAAAAATATTTTGCCGTTTTCGGGATTTGAAATGATTTTAATCTCTCGTTACAACTGGCATATGGCACAATTATTTTTTAAAAACTATCTGGTAATTTGGAAAGTACATGATTAGTTATCATTTTGTAACTCAGATTTGAATATCGTTTATTTTATTTGAAATGTGCACAAATTATATATCAGAAGTATATCAGAATTATATTATATTCAAATTTCAAGTTATTTTTTCCTTGCAGTTTGAAATTCAGTGCATATGAATAAACTGTCAGTATGAAACGCAAAATAATACAACCATTTCTTCAAAATAATATATCGGTTAATTTTTTTAAAGCAAATTCTTTGCCTTAAAGTAAAGCTAAAAGCGCTGCAGCATACTTCAGACAAATGTACTTATACATATGACACTTATTCAGCTTTATGCAAATACCTTGAAATTGGAGGCATGTGATCATATAAAATTCATTGAAATTACGAGCTCTTTCAAAATGTTTCCCATCTCATTCTTTTTCCTGTGTTCTGGTTATGCTGATTTATAGTGAAAATGATATTTGGTGAAATTTGGAATATCTAATTTGCAAAATAATTACATAATTTACAAATTTTGTCTCCAAATGCATTAATTTTTAATCGCTATTAAAATAAAAATATTGAAATTGAATGTGTATGACGAATGCTTATGACTTGTTACTATATTATCATAATTATTTTTATCATAAATTCTCGCATAATTAAATTGAATGAAAATTTTGAAATGAATAAGAATTCAGTTCAGTACAAAATTTAAATATTTCTCTTAAACTGCATTTACATTTTAGCTTTAGCTTTAGAGAGGAAAACTGTAGCGATAAAATATATCATATCGAATTTTTTATAACTCCATCATATGCAGAAAAATAAATAAAAGCAAAACATCCACGAAATCGACAATTTCAAAGCAGACAAAATTAAGAAATTAATTTCTTGGATTCGAAAATTTCCTCAATTATTTATTGATAAAACGGTAGAAATGGTGGAAGAAATTGGTAAATCGTATAAATATTCGTAATATTTTGTCAGACAGTTATACCATAGAAATGTTATAAAATTTTTTGGCAAAATTATTCCGTTAATTATTCATATAGAATTAATTAGTCAATTGAATAATGTGTTGTTCACCATTCGACATGCACATACAATTTGATTATGACCTCGTCGCCTACAATTGTTCGCATGCAGTTTTTAGTATATATAGCCAGCATTGATTTTAGTTAGTAGATAAAAGTTTCAGTAAAAGTTTAATTAGTAATGCTTCTCTTAATTTTATTCGGAATAGCAATTGATAGTTGTGTAGCGCAAGGAACATTAAATCGACGTAAGTTTCTTCATAAAGAAAACCTTTTCTTCTTTCGTAATGTGAGGAGAATATTTAAGGTTTTTTTTTCCGTAATTATTTAATTATTTTAGAAGGTTGAAATTTTCATTTCTTTGATTTATTTAAATTCATAAATTGTTTGGTTTTAGTTTTTTTTTTTTTTAATTGGTAATTGCGTTCATAATTATTTATTAGTAATGGCAAACGACATTAAAGTTCAATTTGCCATTATAGGATTACTGCATTTAGTATTTTGCCTTATTTTACTTGTTAGATTAGTAAAATTTTAGTAAATTTCATTTCAGCATGTGTTAATGATACGCAGTGCGATGTATTTCAATTTTGTTTTCTTGGAACTTGTTTAGTCGATAATAGAGGTAAAAAATTGAAAATTGTCGCGTGAAATCGGCAAAAATATCAATTGTTTCTTGGAATGCTATAAATGATATAATTTTCCAGGATGTCCTGGGGCCACTTGTGCACCAAATTCAGTGTGTGTTAGCAATCAATGTGTTCGAAATCCTTTGCTACCACCAGGTTTGTATTGTAATGTACAAGAATATTTTATTTCATAATAAATATTTATTTTATAAATATATATAAAATAAATATACTATAAATAAACATTTATTTTTTCATAATGAAATGCATTTTTACATGAAAAAGTTATTCAGCATGTCCGACGGGATGGACAATGAGCACAGTATTCAATGCGTGCTATTTTGTTGTTAGTTTTCATAATAGTTTTTTTCATAATTCATAGTTTTTGTACATTATATTTGCACATTATACAGTATATTTATTTCCTAGCAAATATCTCTTCGGAAAAGATATGTATAAAGATATGTATTAATTATAAAATAAGGTAACTAAAAATGTTTCTTGTTTCGTATATATCTGGTTATAAACGAAAAAAAACTGCATCTTTTAGAAATTGAACAATGCTTAGAATAATAATAAGTAAAGTCTGAGATATAGTAGGGAGAGATATAAATAAAATAAAGAATAGGAGAATAAAATTATGTTAATGCGCGAAAATATTTTTCTAGCAGTAATGAATTTAAGGGCCGTGGTCCGTACAACTATTTAGGAGCATTTACGGAATGTACAGCACGAGGCGGTTTTGTTACATCAGTGCTTTCATTTAATGAAAATAGTTTTATTAACGGTTTGGTTGGTGGCTCTGCTTACTGGATTGGACTAAGAAAAGTTGGAAGAACATGGATGTGGCAAGACGGAACAGCGGCATCCTTCACCAACTGGCGACCTAGTCAACCTGATGGATGCTGTGGACCCGATGTTACATGCACAATTGTCAACTATGCTAATGCCGGCGGTCAATGGGATGATGCTGGTTGTACGACATTATGGCGCAATCCAACTAACATTGTATGCAAAAGAGCAGTACAATAGACAAATTTTTTTTTTGTTGAAGATATCTATATTCATTTTTTTTCATTATCTTCGCTTGAATTTTTCATATTCATCGAAGAATTCTTCTGTTCCTTTAATTCATCCTTCTGTCTCTAATAATAATAAATCTTTCGCGGGAAATAAAATTTTGGGAAATAAATTCTATTGCAATAATTAATGTTCGATTCCACTCACAACGTACATATATAAATTAAACGATTAATGAAGGCATTGGCGAAGTAAATTAAATGATTAGTCCTTTTTTTCGAATATTTTCCGTTGAATGTACTGAATATTCATTGACTAATTTTTACTAATTTTTAAAGATTTTAAAGTAATTATAGAACTAAAATTTTAAACTAATAAAAATGTTTTTGCTAAAATTTTATGAAAAATTTTCTTTTTTATAGCGATTTCGTGAGGAATCCGTAAAAATTTCATCAACCGAATCTTTGGGATTTGAAAGCTTAGTTTGATCTGAATTTGATAGTCTTTTATTTTGTTTTATTAAGAAAGTGAACTTTTTCATCAATAGAACGAGCTAAGTAGAAATCCTAGTTTATTTTTGCAAGCATAGAATTCAAGATTTCATAATCACAGTGACGATAATTTCTCTAATATCTCGGGGGAAATATAACGATCTAATTTTAATGAAGCATGAATGATGTAGTGATAACTATTACTATTAACTTACACAACATCTAAAATAGTGTTTTGCCCAGTGGCATCTTAACAAGTTGCTCTAGACCTATGTAGGTACAAAGGTTTGGAATGTCCTCTTCAAATTTGCTGCTATTTTTCAAGCAACTATTTTCCCAATCTATATTTGGCATAAGATCGCCGACAATTACATAATGGGCACCAAATATTTTTAATCTAAATAGCAGGTTGTAAATATCCCTAGTGAAATAGCCAGGTGGGCGGTATATATTTAAAAGGAAAATGTTTCTATTATTAAGATAAATTTTAATTATTGGAGATTCAAAAGAGGAATGGACAAAATCATCAAAAATTATAATATTATCAAATTATCAAATTATCAAATTTATAATAATCAGGAATAAGCGTGATAAGCCCACCTCCATGAGTATTTAAACTATTTATTGTTCTATCCTTCCATGACACTAGAAAGCCATCAAAGTTTAATTCCCGATTATCAGTAGAGTCATTCAACCACGTTTCATTAATACAAAAAATACTATCTAGGTTATCAATTAGTAGGAGTTGTAAGTCATAAAGTTTATATTTCAAACTTCTTGCATTAAATAAATAAATATATATATATATATATATATTTATAATATATATAATAAATGTATATATATATAAAGATAAATTACTTCCTATTTTTAATAAGTTATTTATTTATTTCTTAACTTTACTTGGTAAATTGTCCTATGCTGTAGTAGATTGATGGGAGAGAATTGGAATCGAAAAATTGTTCGTCGTTGTAAACCATTGGCGAGGCTGCCTTAGTTCTACTATCTCTCCTAATTGCAATTTTAATTACAAAAGAAAACTACTACAATATAACCTGGATTCTCTTCAGTTCGTCGTATTAAACAAAATTTAATTTATATTTATAAGATTTTGTATGGTTATGTTAAACTAGATTATAATTCAAAATATTCAAATATAAGTTATATCGTTCAAAATATTATAATTTTAGGCTAAATTTAAATCTAACAAGAACTAAAATTACTAAAACCTATGTATAAAACTAAACTAAGGACTAAGGACTTTAAATAATATCATAAATGATTTTTTTATTCGTAATATCAATTACTGGAATTACCGAAACTACCAAACGATATAGCTTGTGAGTCATCCCTAATTATCTTTAAAAAAAGAATAGATAATATCATTTATGATATTATTTAAAAATCAGATGCATCAAAAATCATGCAGGAAATGTGAAATCTCGATTTTTACCATCCGATTATGGTTATTTCAAATTGTATTATTATATTGTTTTGTAATTTCCTCTACCTTTCATTTTTAAATTGTTAATTTAATTTAATTTTATTATTATTTTTTGTTTTTATCTTTAATTCTTATTAGTTATTATTTTTTACTATTATTAATTATTTTTTAGCTGTTGTTACTAATACAAACACATGGCGTTTACTTCTTGGCTGGTTTTCAATAAATAAATAAATCAATGAAATTTTAGATAAATGGAAATTATTAATTGAGTCGACATCGAAGCTTTAAATTTATTGTCAGGCCTTTCATGCTGGCAAATCACCATCTGATTTTGCCTAGATCAATTGATGTGCACATCAGTTTCCAATGTCTGTACTATTCTGTATTATATATGATTCCATAATTCAAGTAAGTCTGTATTAATGATGATTCAAATCATTTTGATTACAGATGAGCTGATATTGATAAAGAAACTACACAACTTCAAGCGACGCGATCATGTGATTAGGATATTCAGGTTAAAAAGAATATTAGAAAGAATGTTAAAACATCGTTTCAAATATTTACAACCCACCGTCATGTTTTATTGATTTTGCACGAGAAGATCGTTCGCCCTCATAAAGGCATTTTATCAGCGTAGATCGGCACAGATCTTTGTATATATATGGGAAACTGAAATATCTTTTGAAATAAGAACTGTTCTTCAAAACTGCATCCTTTACCCTACAATATTCAACTATGAGATAGTCTGAATAATGGGCAACGCTTAACGGTACTCAATAAGAGTATGAATCAGTCCAGAGCGTAGTGTCACAGAACGCTTATGATGTAGTCCTTTTTGCTAACAGTTATGGCGAAATGCAAAAAATGCTAAATAATGCGTCAACAATTGCAGAGAAAATCGGATTAAAAATCAAAATAAAACGAAATAAAACGAAAACCTTATTCACAAGAAACTGACAAAATACCTATTTTTATCAACTCATTGCCAGTTGAGGAAATGCCAGATTTCAAATATCTTAAATCCACTCAAATCCCAAATGGTCAAGCGAAATTACAATTCGGACACTGGCAGCTAAAAATGCTTTCCTTCTTCTGGCTAATGAAATTTTTACGGATTCCTCACGAAATCGCTATAAAAAAGAAAGGAAGGCCGCGTCTATATAGGCGCAGTTCGCTTGATCTTGTTGTATGGCTACGGAACTTGGCCATTTAGAGTGAAGATGAGATATTAAGAAGATATCTGACTTTGGCCGCTCATGTCTAAGATATATCTTACAGATCCTCCGTCCGGATAAAATCGCACATCATAATATTCATATTCTTCATCAAATACCACTTTTATTAATAATATTGTCACAGAGCGTCGTCTTCGCTGGTTAGAGCATGTTTTCACTCGTTCAACACAAGAGTTAATGCATATTTCGCTCTTGTGATGGTTGCCGCCAAAAGCAAGTAGAACCAATCAAGATCTGGACTGATACAATCAAAAAAAGTTTTGAACATATAGATGGACTTAGACGATGAAAAAAGGAATGGCATCTATTTCTAATAGCGATGGCGTCGCACTGAGCATATTTTATGCTTCACCCTCATAACCACCGAAGTATAATTCAGCTAAAAAACCAAATATTATATCTGAAAATATTAAGAAATGAAAATTTTTATATATGAAAATTGCATTAAATATCTTTGATATGCTCGTTTTATTAAGGAATCTATTGTTATTATTTATTATTATTATTATTATCCTTCATTTGCAGTAATACGCGTCTAAATATTTACAATATTTCATTTATTTATTTTTTTTTAAATTATTAATACAATAAAAAGAAAACTTTTTTATCACTCTCTGTGGGTGATTATGATCAACTTTCCTCTATTATTATATAGAGGCCTTGAAGATTGGGGATTCTGCGCAGTACCTTGGCTTTCCTAATAATATCTTTGTCGGATAGAGATCTCTGTTGTTGTTCCTGGAATTTGCTGAAGCTACTTTCCTAGTTTAGAGGTTATAGTGCTCCGACTATTACTGGAATTACTTTGACCTTCATTTTTTAATACAACATAATCATTAATATATGGAATGAAACTCTCTTCAAATATTTGGCTATTAGTTATCTAAGTAATTCTCTTAAATTCTTTTGCAAAACATTTCCTATTATTTCTTCAAAATTTGTAGTTTTACAGTCGTTATTTTCATGGATTCGATTTATTGAGCATCTTCATTTAATTTATATATGTACGTTGTGAGTGGAATCGAACATTAATTATTGCAATAGAATTTATTTCCCAAAATTTTATTTCCCGCGAAAGATTTATTATTATTAGAGACAGAAGGATGAATTAAAGGAACAGAAGAATTCTTCGATGAATATGAAAAATTCAAGCGAAGATAATGAAAAAAAATGAATATAGATATCTTCAACAAAAAAAAAAAAATCTATTGTACTGCTCTTTTGCATACAATGTTAGTTGGATTGCGCCATAATGTCGTACAACCAGCATCATCCCATTGACCGCCGGCATTAGCATAGTTGACAATTGTGCATGTAACATCGGGTCCACAGCATCCATCAGGTTGACTAGGTCGCCAGTTGGTGAAGGATGCCGCTGTTCCGTCTTGCCACATCCATGTTCTTCCAACTTTTCTTAGT